TAAACATCTCTTGTCTTATGTTTATTTGATGACTACTTTAATAATTGTCTACACACCTTATGTTTCAGATGCAAACATCTTATTGTATAGAAAGAGATAGCGATGCGTTGATGTCGGCCATTCTTTTGTTTTCACTTTCTGACAACCAGATTTTTGTACATGAAGTAAGTTCTTTGTATGACAACTTGTGTATGATTGCTACATGTATAATAATAATAATAATAATAATAATAATAATAATAATAATAATAATAATAATAATAATAATAATAATGCAATATAAAAGGCTATGTTTGACTCTTATTAAGCAATTAATGTTTTTAATCATGTACTGTATATAATTAAATATATACCTTATTGTGCCTTGAGTGAATAATGAAATGTTGTTCATTTTCTTTTACAGTTCACTGTAAATCAGTCATCTTTTCTTGAGAAAATTACTGGACATTACGATATGCTTGATAAATTGGCTCACACTTTGGAGAAGCTTTCTGAAACAGCCGCTGATGATCATGCTAAACAGAAATTACTGCAGATCCAAGCCCGAACATATAACGCCATGTGTGCCATGAAAACCTTATTGCGATCACAAAATAAACATCTTACCAATGAAGTACCAAGTGGAGGAAACAATTTTCATATTGATAGTATATGTGATCAGCATCAGTTGGAATATATTACAATGTTGAATGGTTATTTACTAGCGGAATACCTTGATTTGATGTATACAACGGTGTTAAATCATCAGAATTGACAAGTCAAACTGTTACGAATTTTTCCTTGCAGTATTGAATTGGAAACTCCTCCGGTTAATTATCTGAATAAGAATAGTGATAAGTGTTAGCGTGGGACAGATAATTCTTTATTCATATTCCTCTCCTCTTCTATAAATCATTCATTACTTCTGATATGTACCTGATTTGAAACCGGTGTTCACCATTCTGAATGCACTTCAATAGTATTTTAATGTCGCGGAAACATATTATATGTTAACGCAACTTGGAGGAGACAAAGTGGTATTTGTGCCTGCTTGCGCATCACTGCAAGCAAGACTTGTATTAAAAGACACAGTTCTAAAACAATTTAAGGATATTAATACTTACTATACTATACTCATGATCAAGGGTGGCATATTCAAATGCAAGCATAAATGATAAAATTGACATACATTTGTTATTTCACTGTGTTTATAGCGTTAATTTTTGCATTATGATTATGTGATCCAGCCTCTTGCTATAAAAAGTCATTTCTATTGCAGAATGATTTGTCCTTCCTCCTATTCGTTAACTGCATGGAATGCTTTAAAGAAAAACTGAAAGTAAAGCACCGTTGTAACACACTCGTAATAAGCTTACATGAAAATAAATATTTGAAACTCGCAATATTCAGGAGTAAATATTTTCTTATGCTTCCACTATAAATGCTTTGTCCTTTTCCTTAAAAATGATCATAGACATGTTCAATGGTCAAATTGTGCTATAACTAACTAGCCTATCTATGCAGATTGGCTTTAAAGAGAACATTCTTATATCAGAAAATTATTACTTATCTGAATGCTATGTATATTCATTAAAAAAACACTTCTTTTCACTGAGCTGAAACGTCCACTCTTTAATAAGGCGCAAATAACCCACGAAGAGCACAACACGTACGTATATTACACTTTCGATCCACTTGGACTGAGCATTTATAATTCATTTCATATATAACATACTTTAAACCTTACCTTAGTGCGTTTTCTCGTTTCGTGCAAAATGATGTATATTTTTCTAGCATGCGAAATCAATGCATACCGGAAAAATACCAAGTTCATCATACTCATATATCATATAAGGTGTTGATTTCTTAAGTTTAAAAATATATTTGTAAAATTTTAAATGAACTTTTTAAAATATATCAACATTTTCAAAACCCCCGATTTCGTATTCAAAAATTAATACAGGTTTTACCATTTTGTAAAATAGATTAACTGTAATTCGTACGGTAAATTAAAAAATTTAATTCTTTTTTTTCTTTGTTGAAGTAATAACTATCCCAATGTGGATTTAACTGTACCATAAAAATCCTATAATCGTGGGTCGTGTGAGCTTCACTGTACTCGCTAAAGCAAACCCGAGGTTTCACTGCCACCAGAATACCCTAATAGGCCTATCACCATGGGTCGTGTGAGCTTCACTGTATTCCATGAGGCTTAGAAATGTATATTACCGTGGATCGTGTCAGCTCAACAGTAATCCCTTTTTACCCCCTAAAAGGCCTATCACCGTGGTGGTCTGAGCTGCGATGTATTCCCTGAGGCTATGGTCTAGGGTGTTTCTGCGATCAGAACCATTTAAATGTCTATCACCGTTGGTCGTGTGAGCATTTCTGTATTCCCTGAGGCTATCACCGTGGTACTGAAAAATAACAATGCCACGCGAATATCTCCCTGACAATTTTCTTAAGTTTTGGCTTTGTAAATTATATTTCTGGAAAGAAGACCTTCCAAAGATGTACAAAATTGCATCCGCATTGGAATCAGGCAAACAAAATTTTCACAGTGGCCTTGAGAATATTACGAAAATTTTAAAAGTTTATATACAGAAAGAACAAATCGCCAAACCCCCAAAAAAACGACCATACCACGCGGAAATGCCTTGGATATATTTTTCAACTTTTGGCTTTGTGCCTTATATTTCTTGAAATTCTAAGTCCTACTAAACTTGTACAAAATCGAATCCGCATTAAAATCGGCCAAATGTTTTTTTTTTTCACAGTTGTATTGAGAATATAACGAAATCTCAACAGTTTATTGAAATAAAGATCAAATTGCCGGTCCAAAAATGACCATTCCACGCGGAAATGTCCTGGACAAATTTCTTAAGTTTTGACTCTGTGCCTTATATTTCTGGACAGAATACCTACCAAAATTGTGAATTATAAATGTCTGGACAGAAGACTTTCCAAAGTTGTGCAAAATCGCATCCGCATTGGAATCAGGCAAATAGTGTTTTCACAGTGGCCTTGAGAATATTACGAAAATTTCAACAGTTTATAATCAGAAAGAACAAATCGCCGGACTAGAAAACGATCATGCCACGCGAAAATCTTCCGGACATATTTCTTAACTTTTGGCTTTGTGAATTATATTTCTGGAAAGAAGACCTTCAAAAGTTGTACAAAATCGCATCCGCATTGGAATCAGGCAAATAGTGTTTTCACAGTGGCCTTGAGAATATTACGAAAAGTTTAACAGTTTATATACAGAAAGAACAAATCGCCGGTGAAAAAAAAACACCTATGCCATGCGGAAATCTCCTGGACTTATTTCTTGAGTTAAGGCTTTGAGCTTTATATTTCTGGAAAAGAAGAAATAACGAACTTGTACAAAATCGAATCCGCACTGGAATAGAGGAAATGGCTTTTTTAAACGGTTGTCTTGAGAACAGTGTGTTTTTTAACGAAAATTTCAACAGTTTATATACAGAAAGAACAAATCGCATGTCGAAAAACGACAATGCCATGCGGAAATCTCCTGGACATATTCATGAGTTAGGGTTTTGTGAATAATATTTCTGGAAAGGAGATCTACTAAACCTTTACAAAGTCGAATCTGCATTGGAATCAGGCAAGTGTGGCTTTTCTCCAGTTGCCTTGATAATATTGGTGTTTTTACGAAAATTTCACCAGTTTACAGTTTATATTCAGAAAGAACAAATCGCTTGTCCAAAAAAACGACCATGCCATGCGGGAATCTCCTGATCATTTTTCTTGACTTCGGCTTTGGGCCTTATATTACTCGAAAGAAGTAAAAAAAGAAAAAGATACCTGTACAAAAAATTTACATGCCACGCGGAAATTTCTCGGACATTGCATTTTTGTGATGGTTTGGGCCTGATGTTTCTGTGCAGAAGAAACTCAAACTTTACAATTCAATCCATCATCAATTCAACGGCTTGTTTTTTTAATAATTATTGATACTTGTATGGGACAATGGGGATTACGAAAGACAAAGTAAAACCCTAAACTTGAGTTTAACAGTTACTGGACTTCTGTTATAACATGAGAATTATGATAATTGTCAGAAAACTATTTAAATAAATAATTCCTGTCTGTGGGAACACTAGGCCACCATTCATATTTGTTCATTCCTATATTTATATTATGAATAATAATTATTAGCAAAATGCTTTTATTTCACAGCGTATTATTATGATGAAAATATACTAAAAGCATGAAATGGACTGCAATCGAGTCTACTTTGAAATAAACAACCTATACAAACAATGTAAACGACTCACGTTTAAGAGTAATAAATATTTACACTCGAGCTTATCAATGCGGCAAAACATACATATTAAGGTTTCCTTTAAATTTTACTTCGAAGCAATCAGAACAATCTCAGAATATCAATACACATAACAGTCTAACGTTTTATGGTAGCTTCAAAAAAGTAGTCCCTTACTTCATCTCAATGTGTCCTTGCTTCTTCATCGTTAATTCTAGACATTTAATGATGACAATTAACAAATGATATAAGAAAAGTGCATGAAACCGACCGAATTCTGCTCTTTACGTCCTTTAAAATCAAATATTTACAGGCATGACTGGTGACTTGCGCGTAGTCCGTATTCTACTGGTCCTTTTGAGACTAGTAAACAGTTCTTCATTTTTTTTCAGTTTTGTCTATTGCATCTGTGTGATATTTGGTGACTTTAAAGGGTTTTTGTGTATTCTTTAGGACCTCATATCCTGTAGGAAGGATGAAAATAAATAAATAAATATGTACTACGCGCCAACAGATATGACTTTTTAAACTGGATTTCTGAGACACAAAACAAAATTGAATTTTCTTAAGCGTCTCTAGAGATGGCTATTAGATTGTTCGGTGGTTAATGCTGAAGACAGTAAACTTTTCGACAGGGATTTTGTGACTGAATTAATACATGTATGCTAACGAAAGTGAAAATTGAGTGGATTGACCTTATCCGCACAGGTACGGTATGGTACGGCAAATACTCTTGCGGAAAACAACAACAACTTTTTAAGACGACAACAACAACAAAAACGTAGTTCCGGTGAAAACAAAATACAAGAAAATGAGATAAAATTACAAATTGCCAGAATATAACTGAAGATTGATGAAAAAGAAAATGTTTTCGAGATTTACAAGCATCCTGCAACATGCAGTGGATGCGGTAAGCGTAAGGAAAAGTTGAATAAATTTGATTTTATCATCGATCTATTAAAAATTTCTTCTTTGTTTTGTTATGTCAAAAATTAAAACATATATACCAGCCATGGATTTTGATAAATTGAAACATATGTCGTATGTTCATTGTTCAAATTTAATGCAATTTTAATTAACATTTAAAGAAACTACCCAATTCTGATTCTGAAAGTTACATTCATGTTCAGTCATAAAAAAACAACAACATAAAACTTTATACCAAATATATACTTAATCGTGTTTGTCTGTAGATGTTACAACTGATTAAACTATTAACAAAATTAATTACTGTTATAACAACTTTTCAATCTAAATATTTGTCATCATATTCATCAGTTAGAAAAGATTTTATTCATTTATATTGACAAATGGGAATATTTTATTTTTAATTTCGGGTGAAATATTTGTTTCCATGGCAACATGGTTACATTATTTTTTATTTAATGTGGAATGACATTTCAAATTGAACTGACACTGATTTTTGTTGTAGTTTGTTTTTCTGATATGTAAATCATGTGTTAAAGTAAGGACTAAGGACAGGGGCTAACATGTTTGTATTCTATTCTTAATCAAGTTAATCATTATGAGGGTCTATTTGCAAACAATGCATAGTAAAGCATTACACTATTTAGTGTAAAGACCCTGGACTTAACATGCCTAAGGGTGAAATGGTGAGAATGGACCTTGATGCAATTTCTATATAAGATTAATATACTTGATAAAGAGATCAGACCTGGGGTAATTGATTTTTTAATTGATTACATGATTACACTGTAATCATCATGTAATTGATTACCTTGCCCAAAATTGATTAATGTAATTGTAATTAATCAATTACAGCTAAAATTCTGTCAGTAATCATGATTACAATTTGATTGACATTGATTACTTTCAGATTAAACAGGAACCTATTTTAATTCAAATGATGCCATTATTTTACATGATACAGTGTAACTTTTGTTTTACATTTATACAGTAAAAGCCCTTAATTAAGACCATCATCTGGGCTGGACCAACATTGTCTTAACTGTGAACATTCTTATCATTGCTTACATACTTTATGACAATGGTCTGTTTTAGTCATTTTGTTTGAAAAAATAAACAACAGTATGTATCTTAAGCTACAAGCGCAATATAAAAGACACTATAAAAGTATGTTTTGATATCTGATGAGAGGAAAACATATAATGATATTTCTGAAAAAAATTTAACTTAAAATTCTCTTTGGTCAGATTTCAATATCAATTATTATATGATGTACATAAATCACCTATCAAATAAAAATTAATTCTTCACAAAAAATAAATTTGCTAGAAGCAACATTAAACCACTCTAAAATTTACCTTCTCACCTTATTTCATACAATAACCCAATAATAACAGTTTTTCACACCTTGTGAAATTAAGTGTCATGCAAAGCATTCAAGCAGATAATAACAACAAATTTAAGATCTAGATAGGTGTTGATTTTAATATCAGTGGTCTCAATAGTTGAGTCAAATTAAGAATTAAGCAAAGAATTTGGACTGAATTAGGTAGTCTTAAAAGTGGATAAGCGGTTGTTCTTAATTCTGGATCATGTAACAATTGACACAAAGAACCTTGTAAAAAAATAGTCTTATTAAGGGGGTGGTCTTAATTCAGGTATGGTCATTAGTAGGGATTCTACTTTACATTGAATGTAATCAATTATCAATCAATTACTCTCTTAGAGTAATTGTAATTCAATTGATTACAGAGGTAAGTCTGAGTAATCAATAGTAATCAATTACAATAAAATCAGAAAGTAATTGTAATTAAATCAATTACTGATCAATGTAATCATCCCCAGGTCTGAAAGAGATGAAGTTTACACCAAAACATTGTACAGCAACCAGTAACAATACAAAAAATTTAGTAGAAAATATATGTTAATCTAAGACACGTCACAGTATATGAAAAGATGTAGGTACTCTTATATTTAAAGAGCTGTTGTGCCAGTTAAAGGCTATATTCATCTTTTATAGAGCCAGTTAGCTCAAATTTGTTTTGAAATCTATTTTTAAAAATAAACATTCATAACTATGAATGAAATAATGCAGGAATTTTAAAACTTATTTCAATAATTTCATTGATCATCTGGTAAAAAAAACAAACAAAGAAAAAACCAAAACGAAAAACCGCCTTGGAAGAAAATGGAAACATTAAATAGGATCTAGACACTGAAAACTCTAATACATGTACCTGGCATTTTAAATTGGCTATTACACTAAGAAGTATTTTGTTCCTTTTCCTGCCTTTAGGGAACTAGGCCTTGTCAGCCCAATTGGGAAATTTTTGAGTTGCTGCATGGTACATTTGAGAAATTTTGGAAAAAAAAAATGACTTTCAACTGCCGTCAAATTTTGAATAATTATTGATACTTGTATGGGACAATGGGGATTTAAAAAGGAAGAAGCAAAACCCTAAACTTGAGTTTAACAGATACTGGACTTCTGTTATAACATGAGAAATATGATAATTGTCAGAAAACTATTTAAATCAATAATCCCTGTCTGTGAAAACACTATGCCACCATTCATATTTGTTCATTCCTATATTAATATTATAAACTGTTCTCAGCTTCCATTATTTTATGTGTTTTCTTTTCTTTCAGCTTGCACCTCAATTATCTCTTCAAGAAGAATTTGTCTTCCACTGGAAAGCTGTGACATCATTCTTTATTGACAACAAAGGTATTCTGATATACATTTGATTGATTACCAATGGCTGAATTATTTTCTTTTTATATCCTATCCTAGCCTGAAATTTATAAGTGTTTTATATGGGGTTATAAATACATTGTAGTTGAAATTTTTTACTACATTATGAACATAGAAAATTATTTGCAGGAACTGCAAAAAATAGTAGCAAATAGCTTAAAAAAGTATATGGGTGATATATTTGATTTACGAATTTGTAATAAAAATATACAATGTACTTATATATACAGTTGATATATATTTTTCTTAATTGGTCAGACATTTTGATGTACTGTTTCCTTACTAACATATCCTTATGTAAGTACAAAAGAAGGGATCGTAGGAGCATTTTTGAATCCTTGCAGCTAAATTTAACTGCAGGTAAAATCTTCTGTGAAGGGAGCACTTTCAAACTTTTCTTTTTTCAATAAAGGTGAGAAGCAGCCTATAGATCAGACGAGTATACCATCCCACCTAGAGCAGATGTTAGTCATTTTACAACAGGAGGACATGCAGTGTGAGAGGGGCATGTATGGACCATGCCTGGAATACCTTCTCCAACACAAGCTGCTGGAAACACTGTATTCTCTGGGAAGAAGTGATGTATGTTTGTGTATTACATATAATACAGTTTTAAAAAAAACATGAAAATAAATTTTTTATACCTTTTCTCCATTCATTAGACTTACATGTACATGTTCTTTTTGTTATGAAAGCTTTAATTTAAGTGTTATTAATATGCTCTTATTTTTTAATGCATAATTGTTTACTTCTATATGAGGACTAAAGAGAGCTATTGTACTCGGACATCGGCCTTATTATTCTAGGCTTTCGTTGGTATATACATGTATTTCTTCATTTCTATATGTAAACATATAGATTATTTGAAATAGTTAATATAGAGAAGACTTCAAAGAATTATCTTTTTTCTGTAAGATACATTTCAGCTGATATACATTGTGTATGTTACTTAATGATTAAGTATTAAGTGTCTGTACTGATTGTTAGATCTAGGAGATTTCTTGTCATGTTTGCCTGTCTGTTTTTCTACTGATACATGCAATTATAATCATCGAAAATTTGATATCACATTATATTCAAAACTGTCGTTAAAATTTATTAAACTTTTCAGTGATGAAATTTGAATTGTCCTTGATTTTTGTGTGCTATCTAATGTCTACACTGTTTGCTATTCAATCACTATATGTGTTGAAATTTCCCCTAAAAATGATGAATGGACTTGTCCAGCTTCAAAGATGGACAAGTCCATTTAAGGTTTAGTGTGGTAAGGGTTAATTAGATTAGACACAGCATCATATAGTTGCATCAATAATTTCAGTACCCACCTGGTATGAAGCAGATTGTGTTGTCATTCTTTACAAAGTTATTATCGAGAATCAAACAACCATTGCTGGCTCATGTCAGTGTATATAGAGCTGTACAGGTTAGTCATTCTATCATATAGTATCATATTTCATCTTGTTTATTTTGTAAATGCTTACTGTCAGAAACATAGCTACATAGCTACATTATTAAAGGAAGTAAGTAAAGAAAGTAAGTTATAAGTAACAACTTTATTAAATGGGGCAACACAGTTAGACAAGTCCAGTCTTCCCTGTGAGCCTCAACAATGTACAAAACAATTTATAAAATACAATACATCAATAAGAGATAGAATAATTACACTAGTTGATTTCATTATTATACATTCAACATAGAAATACGTGAGATCAACCTTGAACAAAAAAAAAATTTTATGAGACAAGAGTTGATAATTATATACATACATTCAACATGTAAGAGCACAGTCTTGATAACTAAAGTAACTGTAATGAAATAATCTCTTTGAAATGCATGATTTGCACCTAGCAAGAATGTTCAATACCAAAGATTTAGGATATGAATTTTATTTTATTTTATCATTTACTAAATTAAATCCCCATATGAAATAACATGAAGGAGCAGTTCGAAGCTAACACAATTTAAAATTGTTGACAAATGTATTAACTTGCAAGGAGATAGTGACAGGGCTCACACTGGCTCAAATAAAATAATAGCCAATAATTTCAACTTAAAAAAATAATAGCCAAAAGTTCAGCGGACTATTCACGAATTAGCGATTAACAAAATAAGCAGTTGATAAAATAAACATTACATTTATATCTTTCAGTTTTATAAGGATTCTCAAATAAACTGATATATTTGTGTATATTGATAACTAACTTTTTTTAAATAGAACCACAACTTTAATTGTTATTATAGAACAGAATAAAAACGTTATAATTAGTATAATTACTGTATAACAATAATATTAAAGATTCATTATAACTTTACATAATGCTGTTATCAGACAACTTTTTTTGTTTGTTCTAATCAAATTTGTCAGCTATAACCACTGTCAATTTCCACATTTCACACACAACTGGAGTAGATCTAGGTCATATTAGGCTATTAGCCTATAGAAATAACACAAGTTTGCAAACTCATTCACAGAATGCAGCCTTTTTTCTGAATAATTTACTGAAAAATATCATCATCACCAATGTAATACAAATTTTCTGCCATAGTAGTAAAGATTTTTAACAGAACATAGCTTATTTCACCTTTAAATAAATATCAAAATTATCGGTGTCGCGAAAATATGTGACAATCGGATTTTTCCTGTTTTCTGAAGAAATATTCACAATTTTGGTTGTTGTGCAAATAGTTGTTTGGAATTTAATACTTTTTAAACATTTTACCATTGTTTTCCACTGGCGATTAAGTCAAGTAGCTTAAAACAAAAAACAAATCAAAATTTGCAATTACTGGAATTCACGGTAAATTTTGGGTAAGTCAATATCCAGTTTATCAATTTTAAAACGATTTTTGTGGCTAATTGACGGATATTTGATGGCTATTATAAATGCTGGACAATATCTTTAAAGTACTTATACAATTATACATCTCGCATGTATTTTATCACCTCGGGCAATATAGTTAGCAGCACGTGACCGGTAAAAAGTTGACACTCAATTAAATGCACCCCGCTGGTGTTAATTGGGTCTACTGCATTCATTATCGATTTTTACACCTTATATAAATACTGTTGGAAGTAAAAAATAATCGCCAGATTTTGTAGCCAAAATGCAAAAATAATCGCCAATCTTATAAAATAATCGCAAATGGCGACTATGGCGACCGACAGCGTGAGCCCTGTAGTGACCATTAATTTAGATTTACTACATTGTATGTGGACAAATACTTGATTGCTGGGGATTAAAGATAGGCCTATAAGTTTCATTATCAACTCTTAAAACCTGGTGGTTGTATGATTAAGGTTGCTGATTTTAAATCAGTTGCCCATCACTGTTGTGGTTTCCAATGTTTGCCCCTCTCTGCTGTGGGTTCCAATGTTTGCCCCTCACAGATGTGGGTTCCAATGTTTGCCCCTCTCTGCTGTGGGTTCCAATGTTTGCCCCTCACAGATGTGGGTTCCAATGTTTGCCCCTTACTGCTGTGGGTTCCAATGTTAAGGTCCCATGATCAGAGACTTTGGATTGTTCTTTGTGATGAAGCTATCCAGCTAATTTACAGATGGTTGGTTGTTCCACTCTGCAGATGCCTGTTATTGCCTAAAATAGTCCTGAGCATTTTCTCCACCAAGCTGGAAAGTCACCATATGAGCCACGTCCTGACAAAACCAACATAATGGGTTTGCGACCAGCCTGGATCCAGACCAGTCTGGGCATCCGTGCAGTCTGATCAGGATTCATGCTGTTCGCTTACAGACCCTATAACAAGTAAAGAATCTGATAGCGAACAGCATGGATCCTGATCAGACTGCGGGAATGCGCAGGCTGGGCTGGATCCATGCTGGTTGCAAACCCATTATGTTGGTTTTTGTCATGACGTGGCTCATTTACAGTATCAGTGTGACTTAAATCCAACAAAAAAAACTGAACTCTTAATACTAATACATGTGTATTCAAATAATAATATTTAAAAAAGATTTGTGTAAAAGTGTAGGTTGTATTTTGTAGAGATTGATCAAGACATGTGGAGAGGTCAAGGCTGGCCCTACAGAAATTGAGGAGATCCAGTTTCTGTGTACTGTATGTGCTAAAATAAAGGCAGATCCTTATATTGTTAACTTCTTTCTAGAGGTAAGGAAAAATAAATGTTATTTTTGTCATATAATTTTCATCATTTGGGCCGCGTCATGACAAAACCAACATAGAGCATTTGCGACCAGCATGGATCCAGACCAGCCTGCGCATCTGGGTAGTCTGATCAGGATGCATGCTGTTCGCTTACTAACTCTATTACAAGTGGAGAAACTGACAGCGAACAGCATGGATCCTGATCAGATTGCACGGATGCGCAGGCTGGTGTGGATCCATGCTGTTCGCAAACGCATTAAGTTGGTTTTGTCGTGACGCGGCTCATTTGATTAATTGATCATCTGTAATATTATTGACAGGATATAGTTTTATAAATTGTTATTTTATCTTACTAGTCTTCATTAAGTCAACAAATGACTATCTGTTGAAACTTCCTGATAAAAATATCAAATTCAAGCGCTTGGGCAATAATGAATTATGTTTATAACTTTTGTAAAGGTTAACCATTATAAATGTTATATTTAGAAAAATCATTTCATATAATTGTCAAATCAATAGAAATAAGGTGGAAAAGGAAATATGCCAATGATTAACCCTTTATGCCGTCCCTGTTATTTTCGGCGTATTTGCCATATGAACGGCTTTAGCCGTTTCTATAATAATAATAGTAATAATAATAAATTAATAATAATAATAATAAAAATAATAATAAATATAAAGAAAATTATACCATTGACAATAATTATTATCATACTCACAGATTTGGAAACACATATAATTATTATAATACTAATAATAAATAATAATAATTATATTAATTAATTATATAGTCATTTCTTAGAAAACCCTCTGGCAAATAGGTGATCAATAAAACAATAACCCTCTGGCAGCGAAAGGGTTAAATACATTACAATGAGGAAACCCCTGGATACCTCTAATGTGCCAGTCTGCTCTCTATGTTTAAATTTGTAAAGTGGACTCACTAATTGTTTCCCGAACATCACTGGGACATTGTAAATAGCTTTTGGACACAGTTTTGAAGAAGGCTAAAAGTGGTATGATGCACTTTTTCAAGATAAAATTACAGGAATATTTAATTTAAAAATAATACAGAATTGTTTTTCCAACAGAAAATAAAAGTTGTAGGTCACTTTAAAGAATATTTCATTCTGTATAAGGCAGTGGGTTAATGTTATATTAGATAATTTATATATCATTTCATTGTGCATAATTTTTATATATCATTTCATTGTGCATAATTCTCTTTTTTTTCATAAGAGACCACTGTGTCAGTAGCTTTTAGTTTGTTTCTTGTTTGACTGTAGATGCCAAAGCCACCGCAGAATACTTCAGCAAGTGGAACCAGTACTCCTATAGTGCATGAACCAGCATCAGAAAATAAACTTAAACAACAGTTTCATCTTGTTACAACCCTACTTAATCTGTCTCATAGTGAGGTTAGTTTACATTATTATACTGTTAAAAGGGAAGGCAATGTTGGAATAAAAACTTTATATCAGAAATATAATACTATAAATAGTAAATCTACAAATTTTCTGCCTTCATATAATAATATTAAACGAATGATTACAAAATTTAAATCGCGTAATCACGGATTTCTACTAATCAGTAGGCGTGGCCATGTTTGTGTATTGGCTGTATAAAAACAGGTGCACGTGATGTCATTTCCCCACATCTTTAGAGTTATGATAAATCTAGTAGAATCGTAGTGAAATATAAAGATATTATAAAGTATTGACTAGACAAATTGATTTTAGAAGGATGTGTACAGAAGATTTTTTGAAAGTTTGAAATTGATAAGATACTTTTCTAGTTGCTGATTGTTTTACTACAACAATTTGATTGAAAGCAGTAGATTAACATATCTCATTTATATAGTAAAGTAAAAATTTAATTACTTGTGGAAAAATTAGTGCAGAGCTTAATTCGAAAATAAAAAATTGCTTCCCCATGGTATACTGCAAAATCATTATTTGTGGGACACTCATTTTCATGGTTTTCATGGAAGCATGATAAAGAATTAATTAGCTGACTTCAGTCTCTTGTCACTATATTATAGTGATCAGTCTATTGTTTTTGTCAGACAAATTAAGTAATATTAAGTAATACTTATATTTGAAACTATGCCCAGTTCAAATATGGTGAATACTTCATCTTACACAACTTGTAATCGTTTATGTTTATCTTACAGGATAGTCGAGTGGCTGTTAAGGCCTGTGAAGGTCTTATTCTCTGTTCTAGTCTACCAGATCCTATAGCTGCCCACTGTATGGTCAATAGTACAAATTTCTGCCAAGACTTCACTCAAAGGTTGATTGAAACCTACAAGAAACTACCTAGTGATGTGAATCCCATGGATTTAGAAAATGTTCAAGCAAAATGGGGGTAGGTGTTTCCTTTAGCATAAAATAATGAATCCTCAAGTATCTTTTAAAAAATTTTTTTTGTACTTTCTTAAATCTTTTATGATGCTTAGATCCCTGACCTGTCTAATTCTCAGATTAGTTGATACGATAAGAATTTTATCACAACATATTTGATAACAAAAGAGGATATGTTAATGTTTGCAGTTAAATCTATTAGCATTCAGATGGAAGGTCAGAGTAGGGATCTATCGAATGACCGTCTCGAGTCAGCTAATAAATATTTAGGTCACTATTTTTCAACTACAGTAATTTTAACTTATATGTTAATGAAATTTCATGTATAATAGATATTAATGATAAAAACTGCTGCCTAACTCAGTTTTTAGAAAGATTAAAAAATTCTTCATTTCAGGATGGAAGTTGTAACTAAGCGAGAAGATGACACAACATTTGCTGGAAAGCGCCACCTAGTGTCATTCCTGTCCTGGTTAGATTATTGTGATCAGCTCTCGGCTATAGCCAATCCAATAGTAGCCGAGGCATTGGCTCGAACTATACACCAAACATTTCTTACACCGTATGTTCTACCTGACATGCTACAAATGTAAGTAAATATCTGGAACAAAATGATCCCTTGTAAGCATTAAAAAACAGCAAAATTACACCAAAATTGCATACTAAGTTTGATTGCGCCTGTAAATGAAAGATAATGGAAAAGTGCAACATCCCAAACCACCCCTAGCACCGGCTTGAGCGGTACTCAATTCTTAATTATAAGTGTTGGACTCAGTGATCCCAAAGGACTAAAAAAATATAACAACACTGAAGTGAAGTATGGGCCAACTTTTTACATCTGCCATACAGCACTTGACACCTGCTGTTGTGAAGTTTTAATATCTGTTTATATTTTAATAATTTACATTTATTTAAAATTTGAACATCTTTTCTGGAAACATGGTTACGTCTACGTCCATGAATGTGTCTGAATTCTCTACAATGTATTTTTTTTTTATTTCAATTTTGTTATGAATATATGTTTTTCGGAGGTCAGTGGCAGAGTGGTTAAGGTTGTTGGCTTCAGACCACTTGCCCCTCACAGCTATTGGTTCGAATCCTGACAGGGACTTTGAATTCTTTCATGTCACTTTTTGTGAGGAAGCTATTCATCTAGATTAGGGAATGTTGTTTCGGTTTTTCTGAGGTGCCAGTTTGTGCCTGAAATAATTCTGGTGTGATAGATTTTTCTGTCTTATAGTGATTATAATAGCATATTACAAACAAAGATATGCTCAATATTTCTCATTCAAATGACCTAAAAATAGAACCAAACAACAGTATGTATGATGTTGTTTTATACAAAATGATAAGTATTTGAGCAGCGTCATGACAAAACCAACATAGTGCGTTTGCGACAAACATGGATCCAGACCAGCCTGGGCATCCGCACAGTCTGATCAGGGTCCATGCTGTTAGCTTACAAAGTCTATAACAAGTAGAGAAACTGATAGCGCACAGCATGGATCCTGATAAGACTGCATGGATGCGCAGGCTGGTCTGGATCCATGCTGGTCGCAAACCCATTATGTTGGTTTTGTCTTGACGCGGCTCATTTGATTCCCGTATGAATGAGGCATTTTAGTATAGCTAGTATTTTATAATATTTGTATATTACAGATGTGAGAGTGGATGTATCACTACTACAGCATATATGACGAGGTGTTTACGTACTGTTTGTTCAGAGAGAATGTTGTCAGGTAAATGAGCTTTCTTTTTAACTTGGCTATTCAAAAGAAAGGTTCAAACCCTGACAGGGGCTAGCCATTGTTTTCTTGAGCAAGAAACTTTACATTCATTGCTTAGTACTGGTTTGTTTCAGGAACGGATTTAAGAGTGTTTTATTAAATTTGTATATACTAAAGAAAGGCTTAGTTACTCTGCTCATAACATAATTAGCTCCAGGCACTTTTTTTATATTTTGTGCTACTTATCCTTTTCTCATATTAGTCTTTGAATTTAACAAATATCTCCAGAATCATGATTAAAAGTCACTCACCATGAAAAAAAAAATTATCAGAAATTTTTCTTGAAGATATATCCCAATCTGATCACATAATGTTCAGAATAGTTAAAAGAACAGTCTGTTATTAATATTTTACTTTATCGTCCTCGTATATCTGAACTACTATTTGCTGCCTGATAGCCCTTTTTTGTAGGAGTTTAGACTCTTCTTGTAATTTCTTATTGTTTGGATTACAAAAGAAGAGCACCCCACCATATTAATCTCTGGTCAAACTATAGAGATACACAGCAAACACAGAAACAGACATATCTTAAGCTTCATGTAAACTTTCTTTTCATTTCAGAACTGGTGCTATTTTTGTTGGGAGATGATCGTCATCCAGAGGTACACGGTGAGACGAAGGAAAGTTTACGTTCCCGTCTGATTGACAGATGTAATGGTGTATCAGAAGAGGTAGGTATCATATTGATTTATTCAGGGTAATAAACATAAACACATACTATATTGTCACATATATCTAGCATATATCAACATGCATATAAAACACACAAAACTGCAACAAAAAATAATTATAAAATTAAGTAGTACGTTATTATGTCATGCAGGTTTTTTATGCCACCGCAGCATCTGCGATGCGGTGGCATATAGCGATTCACCTGTGTGTTTGTGTGTGTGTGTGTTATATAGATTATATAGTGAACTTAAAAAATCTTTTTGTGAAAAACCACTTGTCCAATTTCAACCAAACTTGGCAGGATTGTTCCTTGGGTGAAGGGCTTCCAAAGTTGTTCAAAGAATTTCATTCCATGCAGAAATCTGGTTGCCATGGCAACCAAAAGGAATTATAAGAATAAATTAAAAAAATCTTCTTGTAAAGACCCAAAAGGCCTAGAGCTTAGATATTTTGCATAAGGCATTGTCTGGTAGACCTCTAACAAGATTGTTCAAATTATAGCCCTGGGGTCAAAATTGACCCCGCCCGGGGGGTCATTGATTTTCACTATGTACATATAGTAAAAACTTAAAATACCTTCTTGTAAAAACCAAAAGGCCTAGAGCTTAGATATTTTGCATAAGGCATCATCTGGTAGACCCTTACCAAGATTGTTCAAATTATAGCCCTTGGGTCAAAATCGGCCCCGCCCCGGGGTCATTGATTTTCGCTATATGTACATATAGTAAAAACTTAAAACACCTTCTTGTAAAGACCCAAAAGGCCTAGAGCTTAGATATTTTGCATAAGACATTGTCTGGTAGACCTCTACCCAGATTGTTCAAATTATAGCCCTGGGGTCAAAATCGGCCCTGCCCCAGGGGTCATTGGTTTTCCTTATATGTATATAGTAAAAACTTAAAAAAAATTCTTCTAGCTATTGACAAATGCTAGAGGTTAGATATTTTGCATGAAACATTGTGTTGTAAACCTCTAGCAAGATTGTTCATATTATAACCCTTGAGTCAAAATTGCCCTGATCCTGGGGGTCATTGATTTCAATATATACAAATAGTAAAAAATAAAAAAAATGTTATTATCTGAAGGTACAAGGCTTAGAGCTTTAATATTTGTTAAATAATATCATCTAAAGGTACTCTACCAAAATTGTTCAAATTTTGCCTCTTGTGTCAAAATAAGCCTCGCCCTCGGGAGCCATAGGTTTATCTTATATGTATATAGTTAAAACTTAAAAAATCATCTTCCCTAAATTTACAAAGGATAGAGTTAAGATATTTTGCATGAAACATTGTGTGGTGAACCTCTAGCATGATTGTTCAAATTATAGCCCTGGGGTCAAAATTGGTTCCGCCCTGGGGGTCATTGATTTTCATTATGTACATATAGTGAAAAAAAAAAATTTTTGTCTGAAGGTTCAAGGCATAGAGCTTTGATGTTTGATATAAAATATTATCTATAGGTCCTCTACCAAAGTTGTTCAAATGTCAAAAATTGGCCCTGCCCGGGGGCAGTGATTGTCATTATGTACACGTGGTAAAAACAGAAAATAAAACAAATGCAGTCTGAATGAGAGAAAGCTATAGCTTAGATATTTGACTTGAAATGTTGTTTGGTGGACCTGTATCAAGATTGTTATTAAACCCTTGGGTCAAAATTATGCCTTGCCCAAGGGGACAGTGACCTACTTTCTTGTCCTTTGATGTACAGCAATGACATTTCGACCATGTGCACAGTTTTAGTTGTAAAATTGAACTTTGACCTAGATTTTGATGATGTGACGTACTTTCTTGTCCTTTGATGTACAGCTATGAAATTTGAACCATGCGGTGGCATAGCATTTTTCTCAAATGCAATCTTGTTTTCTGTTACTTTCTCTATCAATTCAACTTAAGAAGTACTTTTTATATTTGTCTGTGTTAAAATCATTGCTTGTGATGTTAGGAAAATTAATATTTTATTAAGATAATTATTATACTGTATAGTTAATTGATAAAATAAACATATAGCTTCTTAAATGCTACTTTGAAATCTAATGATATAAGGACAAAATTATTCATGTGTAGTTCTTCTCTGTGTTTAACTGGATCTGTTTTTATTTTGCTATACCTGTTAGGTTTGCCTTGTAACACTTCAACTATTTGACACACTCCTACAGAAAGATGATGAGCATATTCTCCAAAATCTTGTGCTCCGTAATATTGAACAAAGGGATTACTTTGATTCTAAAGCTACAAGAAAAACTAGTATTGTAGATAAACATGTTGAAAAAGCAGATGCTTGTATTCCCTCTGATAATCATGCTGCTGACAAAAACTGTGGGTTGGAAAATGATTCAACTGTTAAGGAATCTCACAATGAGGCAGAGTCTCAATCTGAAAGTGAGGCTAAACCTCAGTCTGAAAGTGAGGCTAAACCTGAAACTGAAAGTGAGGCTGAATCTCCTAATTTGAAGGTTGAAAAGGTAGATGATAAAGTGACTAAAACTGAAGAGTTGGAAATAAATGGAAGTTCAGAAAATTCTGCGGAAAGTGAATGTGATACCAAGAAAAAAATGTGCCAAAATGAAAAGGAGCAATCTGGTAATACACTGAAGGTTGATGGAAAAATAAATGGTAATTTGTTCACATATATAAATATAAATTTTCTACATATTTGTTATAGTGTTTTATTCTGTCTTAAAAATGTATGCATGGAATTCAATAAACAGTATATTGCCCAAGTAGGCAAATACTAGTAATACTTTTATGCTTTATTCTAATGTACCAGTCAAACTTTTGTGGAACTGCAGTGTTGCATCTAGGACGCGCGATTGCGCGATTTGCCCATATTTTATGCAGATTGCGCATTTTAATGAAGTCAACGCGCGCCAAGTCGCGCATCTGACAATTTTTTAACTTTATTCATTTCATCTTCATCGTGCCTTGAAAGCTTCAGCCATGTTTGTTTTCACTTGTGGTAATGACTAAAATACGTACTAAAAAGCGTGTAGCAGCTGACTGGGTCATCTCGTGAGTGTTTTGTAGTATTCGTCAATATTTTATTTTTTCTACTTCCGTTTTTGAGCGGACGATAGCTGTCAAAAATGCCTGAACGTAAAATAAATGAATTCTTTTCGATAAGTCATAGTGTATTGTAAATGTGTGTCCCCCAATTTTTTTTCAACCCCCCCCACATTTTTCAGTTGAGTGGGGGACAATCCCCCATAATTTTGAAATTCTAGATGCAACACTGGAACTGTAAGACTATCTCATCTCAAAATAAAGATCACATAGATTTCCTAATCTGATACATTAATATTTATTTTCCCATTTGAAACGTAAAAATACTTGTTTGCAGAGTGATATTTATATTTATTTTCCCATTTGAAACATAAAAATACTTGTTCGGAGAGCGTTTATGAACAAAGACTCATTTTCATTTTTCTGATGTTTTACTATATTAACTTGTTTATTCATTTCAGATGATAAATTTGAAGAAGTAAGTCTTTCGCCATTTTCTACGCCACTTCACGTCAAGACAGAAGTTCACAAAATAGTCAACAGGTAAGTTGGATCCAAGTTATAACATGTGGTTTAATCATTTTGAATAGATACTTAAATTTGTGAGATATATAAGTTTGTCACAAACTGCGGCGCAGGAGTGTGATAAAACCATATAAACGTTATTGCACTAGTGTAATAACACTTTGATGTGACGTCATTTGTGTTATATACATACATAGCGTATTATCCAACCTACACTTATTCATTTTCCTCTATGTAAGAAGTTGTTGGCCAAACTGAATATATTGAATATAGTTCTAACATCATGATAAGGGTTAATTGTTTACAAAGCAGCTTTCATGGTTGTATAACACTATCTTGCTGGTGGTTACAGTTCTACCCATGTGACCAGTGCAGACCAAGATCAGTAAGCACATAATATGAGCCGCGTCTCGACAAAACCAACATAATGGGTTTGCGACCAGCATGGATCCAGACCAGCCTGTGCATCCGCGCAGTCTGATCAGGATCCATGCTGTTCGCTTACAAACTCTATTACAAGTAGAGAAACTGATAGCGCCCAGTGTGGATCCTGATCAGACTGTGCGGAGGCGCAGGTTGGTCTGGATCCATGCTGGTCACAAACCCATTATGTTGGTTTTGTCGTGAAGCGGCTCACATAATAATATGCCATCAGGTCATGGTCTGCACTGTTCAGTAGGTACAAATTTTGAAATTTTCTCTAAAAAAGATTAATGGTTATGTAAAAATTGAAAGATGGACAATTCCATTTACGATACAGTTGCGTAAGGCTTAATATCATAATAAATATTCATTTAATCTGATTAGTTTTATCCTATAACTTGTATTGCAATCAAATTTCATCAGAGGTCTGGCAGTCAGGTTCAAGCATATTTTAGAGCTTAACTACAATGCAGTCACATTCTTAAATTGGTGATAAATCCCAGAATGATGTAGATTTGTAGATTATAAGATTTATATGTAATATTTAAAATATTTAAACAGTTTCCTGACACTGTTACCAGAGGAACTTAAGTCCAGTTATCAGACAGCGGATGGTGGATATGATATGTACCTTAAAGATGCTCATAAACTGGTAATTTATTGTATTATTTATTAATATACATTTTATACCATGTCACTTGAAGCATTTATATGCTGACATGAACAGATAATTGAATCAAATGTATAGTGTTTAATCAAATAAGCCGCAGCATGGGAGTGTAATAAAGCCATTTAATAAAAACAATATTACATAAGTGTAATAACACTTTGATGTGACGTAATTTGCGTTATATTTAATTCTAACACTATCGGAAATTTTTCTATATAGACAAAGAAGGCCGGAAGCGTGCATTATTCTACAACAATGCACTCTCTGTTCTTTATCTCCCTGTATATTTTCACATGTACAATGGTTATGTCACATGTACAATGATAACGTCACACGTCTAAATATAGAACGTCAAACAGTGACTCTATTGCATAGTAATACACACTTTCGGTTCTTCTATGTTCAATAGGGAAAAATGCGGGCCGTGTTAGAATGTATAATAATGCACGTTTTTTGTTCAAATGCTTTGTAATTAATCACTCAGGTTTATCGGCCTTCGTGATTATAATCCTGGGCATTTGAACTTGAACCATGCATTATTAAACAACAATGTACTCAAAATTAATATCTATTTCCTAAACATAGAATTAAGGGGGGGGGGGGGGGGTGTAGGGGCTAATGATGGCGTTACACTATAAGCACCTCAATGAAAAATGACCCTTATTAACAGTTTACCGTTCTTATTTATATTATGTGATAAGTAGAATATTATATTTGTATAGATTTAATACTAAATTTATTCAACTTGTTGATTAAAAAATAATTATGCTCGCCAGAGTCTCGCGTAATATGATTTTATTCAACTTGTTCCATAAATTTAGTATTAAACCTGCACTCATTCAATATCCTCTATGTATATCACAAGTATACTGGTCGGGGACCATCAACCGGACACTTTTTTTAACATTGTTCTGTACATATTTCATAATTTTTAACCTAGATACCTAAAAATCTGACACAGTTCAGCTAGGTTCTTCTCCTAACTAACAAACTAGATTTTAATTTCTGATGGTATTGACACTTATATCTGAGCCTCAACAAGGAGGGTATAAAAATTGCCTAAATTGTCTACACTACAGTACCATGTGTGTGGACAGATATGTACATGATCTGATTTAATTCAGATAAAAGCTTTGGTGTTTTAATTTTTATGCCCCCACTTCAAAGCAAGGGGGGTATATTGCTTTGCATTTGTCTGTCTGTTGGTCGGTAGACCAAATGGTTTCCGAGTGACTAAAGAACCCTTAGGCCTAGGTCATGACCAGTAGATGACCCCTATTGATTTTGTGGTCAAGGGGTCAAAGGTCAAGGTCACATTGACCTTGTAGGTAAAACGGTTTCCGATCAATAATCAAAGAATGTGTTGGCCTAGGAACTTCATACTTGGTATGGTGATTGGTCATGACCAGTAGATGACCCCTATTGATTTTGGGGTCAAGGGGTCAAAGGTCACATTGACTTTGTAGGTAAATACAGTTTCTGATCAATAACTAAAGAACGCTTAGGCCTAGGAACTTCAAACTTGGTATGGTGATTGGTCATGACCAGTAGATGAACCCTATTGATTTTGGGGTCAAGGGGTCAGAGGTCACATTGACCTTATAGGTAAATACAGTTTCCGATCAATAAATAAAGAACGCTTAGGCCTAGGAACTTCAAACTTTATATGATGATTGGCCATGACCAGTAGATGACCCCAGTTGATTTTGTGGTCAAAGGTCAAAGTCACATTCACCTTGTAAGTAAAGACAGTTTCCGATCAATAACTAAAGTACACTTAGGCCTAGGAACTTCAAACTTTATATGATGATTTGCCATGACCAGTAGATGACCCCTATTGATTATGTGGTCAAAAGTCAAGGTCACATTCACCTTGTAAGTAAAAACGGTTTCCGATCAATAACTAAAGATCACTTAGGCCTAGGAACTTCAACTTTTATATGATGATTGGTCATGACCAGTAGATGACCCCTATTGATTTCGGGGTCAAGGGGTCAGTGTCAAATTTACCTTGTACTTTAAGATGGTTTCTGACCAATAACTCAACAAGTCAAGTTGCCTTGGTTGATATTTTTATATTAAACTAAAAATGCTTTTGGTATACACATTTGAAGGTCTTATGTAATATAACAACTTGGCTGTCATTAATGAGGCCTACATGATTCATAAAATTTATGCATATTTTATTTGGTAAGATTTGTAATAACTTAAATTGCTGCACACAACCTATGGGGTCACAATAATTATTACCTTGTGACTAGTCATGACCAGTAGATAACCCTTATTAATTTTTTGTTCACTGGGTCAGAAGTCATGCATAATAACCTGATCACATGACTAATTGGCTGCCCATAGGGGGCATACATGTTTTACAAACATATCTTGTTGATTTTAAACATGTTATACAATATTTCAGCAACAAATGATTCAGTTTCTATTCAGATTCTATTCTGTGTTTTTCTCATAAAGAGTCTTGGTAGGACCTAAAGCAATTGCAATAAATTTTACAAACTCCTTGTTCATATTTGTACAAGAGTACTTCTGATCCTTGAAATAATGTTTATAGAAAGCTTATGAGCTTTCATTTTGAACAAAGAAAATATGACATGTGTAAAATGAAAGTTTTATCATAATTTATGTATCTAACAACAAGTATGAATTTGCATTGTTTTACAGTATGCAGCAGTGGTTGAGTCATGTAAATCCTGGGGTTATCCACTTGAGTTTCCAAAACTGAAGACAAGTTCCCCTGATCAATTCTATGAGGGATCTTTTCTTCACATGATATTGGATAAATTATCACATCTGCTAGATCAGGTTAGCTTTAATTTTATATATTACATGTCATATCTTTCTTTCATTATCAAGATCTATGTGGTCTGCTATGATAAGAAAAAGAAGTGCCTTACCAAAGATTAAATGGTTACGTTTTCTGTCATTTTAACATTTGAACATTTTCAAGTCATCCAAAAAAGTTTGATTGCTTTTAGAAATTGAAAAGCTGCCCAACTACCTTAAGTAAGGTTGTGTGTTAAGTGCTCATATTGGTCTAAAATAAAAAGCATCTATAGTCACATTTCCATTGGTAAAGATGGTAAGTTGCCATATTAATATAACAGTGTTGTTAGTTAAATAATAACGCAACCAAAATTATAATTTACAAAAAAGAAAATGACCTCGGCTTGGCATGCTTTTATAAAAAAGAATTGTATAAATGTGTTTCTGTCAGTTTACAGTTTTGTTTCTCAACATCACCTTATGTAGGTAAAGAATTTACAGATAGTGTCTTGATTTATTTATCCAATCATGTCATATATTATAACCATCGCATTTGTTTTGTTTTTCAGAGTTATCCAATCAACTTACAGGTTACATCTGTGATATCTAAACTTGCCCTGGTTCCCCACCCATGCCTACATGAGTTTCTGCTGGACCCATACTTGCCACTGAAGCCAGGAGTCAGAAATCTTTTCTCTATATTTCAAAAGGTAGTGGAGCTACACTAACTTTAGTTGCATTTGATTGATTGTTGAGTCAAATACTCAGTGTTCTTAGTTATATAAATGTGTTTCTCATGATTTTTTCTCTTTAAATTGCCATATATATATCATTCACCAGTCCTTTATTAAAATCTGCCATACATAGCATGCAATAAAAACAAGTTGTCAAATATTAATGCAAAACATATTGAACAGGATCACTTTGTCTAAAGTGACATTATGTCAATCCATGGGTATATAGTTACAGGAGAAAGTCAGAATAAGTTTACATTTTGCCATGATTCCTTTCAATTTTAAAATTTACTTCTCATGAATGATAGATAACTCACATAGCCGTAAATATCCATCAGAATTTAATTCATAAAAAGAGTGGGGCAGTCTAATAATATTTTAGACAGCTTTATATTGTAAAACATTTTATAGTGTCAACTGTTGTTCAATCACCATTATAACAGCCACTCTTGTGAAGTATATTGTCAATTCAGCTTAACTTGACAATAAAGAAATGTGCATAATGTCACTTAAAACATACTTACTAGTATCTAATATCAATTGTGGAACATGTTCCTGCAATTTACATTTAACACTTTTGAATCATCTATCCGGAACTAACCAGTATTGTTGACATATGCGGAAACATTGTTTGACTCGAGTTAGACTTGAACCTACTGACCTTATTAGGTTGAGAGGTAGACAGTTTAAAGACTAGGACACTCCTGTTATGTAAGGTAAACAAGGTAATTTTACTCACTAGCCATCAGTGAGCTTATAAATATATGTTTGAAAGTATGATAAAAGTTAAATTCTGTTGTTTTTATAACCGTCTCCGTGGTCTGAGGGGTTAGAGTCGATGACTTCTAATCCAGTTACCTCTCTGGCGTGGATTCAATCCCCGGGAGATGCTTTGGTAGTTTAGCGCAGAGGAAGGTAGTCTAGTACTGGTGTAACTCTCCGTGAACGATCGTTAGGAAACTGCCCGCCTTTATGACTGAAATACTGTTGGAAAAAGGCGTAAAATGGTAACAAACAAACATACTGTTGTTTTTATAAACATGTATACTCGTATTTTAATACATTTATAACCAAATTCATTTTACAAGGTCTCCAATGAGATAAAGTCACAGTATGCCTCTGAATCTGACCTCAGCCAAAAGTTGATCAAAGTACGACGAAAATTAATGGGGAGCTCCTCCAGTATGCAAAGGTAAGATAAGTGTAGGAATAAGTTAAATTTGTCTTGATTTTGACATTAAAATAATGAAGAAGAAAAACTTTAAAGTTTTTTTGCAGTGATAGTGTGCTGTTAATTTTTTATGCATGAGAGATCAAGATTTTATTGAGACTCATAGATATAGAGCTTACTTGCTAACAGCTGATTTTGAAATAAATTATGTTTATTTATGATCCATTGATTTAGGTGATTGTTTGAAATATTTACATTTGTGCCCTCTGATCATGGTTTGCTCTGTTTTCACTATTTAGTTTGTACATATATCGAAATTTTCCTTTTAAATGATAAAAGGTTTTGTCCGGAATAAAACATATTTAGCACCGTAAAATTTGAAAGAAATATGACTTTAAAATAACATTTTCTATGTAACATTTTTAGCTCATTTAATGAACTAAGCTGCATGTTTTGACTTCTTCATCATAAAATATTTAATTGAGGCATTGAACAATATCCTTTAAGTTATGACTGTAAAAAATGTTGTGCATCTTGCTGCATTTGATGAATGTCTCAGATTATAGTATTATAATATTGTACCCTGGTTCTTTAGACACCATTTAAGTTCCATATTAATAATGATTCTGTTAAGACATTCAGTTATTTTAAAGCAGTAATCTTTCTTGTTTGTTATTCTAAACTTTCTTTGCAAGTTAGCTACAGGATACGTTTACACATTCTGAAATGTCATAGACAATACTTTTCTGTTGTTGAAAATATTACTGAATATAATTGAAAATAGAATTTGCTAATGTTGCCATTGAATGTTTTAGGCTTTTTCTTTCAAAATACAACATATAGGATTATTTGCAAAGAAATGACTGATTGTCACTGCAGGTACATTAGGGGGGAGCATGTTTAATAACTTTATGTTTATATTTTCATATAATTTCTATCTGTGTTTGAAACATATAACAGATTGAGAATTGTTGTGATTTAGATTTTTAGGTTTGCTTCCGTTTTTGTCCACCCGTCTAAGGTAAAAAAAAATACTGTGCTAGAATACAGGATTGTTCTTGACAAATACTGACCCCACATTTACATATTCTTTGCATATTTTACTATTAAAACTATAAAGTGAAAGATTTGTGAGTAAGATCTGTCTCCCCACAACCTCAGATTTGTAGTGGTCATTGCCCTAACCGAAATATAGTGGTGTTTGACCTGGTGAGATGGGTCGTCCCAGTATTCCCTGTCAGTCCACATCCTGGTTTCCTGTTGAATGGACAAGCATAAAACTGCTCAGATTGATCTATCTGATTGCATCCATGTGAAAAAGTGTCCAAAGAACTTGAACATCTATGTAAGATTGTTTTATCATTATAAGTTAATTTGTAAGACAATTTGGTTTTAAGACAAATCTCTCAAACACCATTTACTCTTAACTGCTGATTTCATTTATTAATGTAAACATGTTTGCAGTTAATGATTAAAAAACAGGCAACACAGCCACTGAATATTAGAAGCTCAGGTTTAATGTTGCTTGTATGACATATCTTTAAAATTGCCAACTTAAGGATGATAAATATCTGTAAGTATTGACACATGTTTGGGTAGAGTGGGGTAGAAGTTTAATAACACTACAGTTTTCTTACACTTATTTTTTGTATATATTGCTCACACAAGAATGTGTTTTCCTCTGTCACCTCATTATTTGAGAAAATTTATCATAATGGTACCTCCCATACATTAGGATTTATAATGAAAGAAATCTTTTGATGTTTTTCTTTAATACTAAAATTGAATATTGTTTGACCTGTTGATGTAAAGTATAAAGTATTTGTCAAGTTTGATCCTGCACAGACAATATTACAATAGAGTGAGCTTGTTTAACATTGAAAACATGGTTTGAACAATGTAAAGCAATTAAGTTTCAATTTTCTTATGATACATTATATTTTTTTCCCTTGGTATGGATAATCTTGAAACAATTTTCAAATGATACAAATAGATGGGACTTAAACAATAATCACTGATTATCATTTTCTTTAACACCTAATAATTTTTATATAAAACATTTTTGATATTGAAATCAATCCATGGGGTCCTTGGCTGAGGGGTTAAGGTTGTTGACTTCAAACCACTTGCCCCTCACCTCTGTGGGTTTGAATACAGTGACTTTGAATTCTTTCATGTGAGGGAGCTATCCAGCTAGCTTACAGAACATCAGTGGTTTTACTCAGGTGCCTGTTTGTGCTAGAAATAATAATGCAGGAAAGTGCATCTCATCTAAGGTTTTCCTCTAGTAAAGCTGGAAAGCCACCATACAAATCCAACAAAAACAAAAAAGATGAATCTGAGTCCCTTAATTTTTGAATGATCTGTTCCAACCAAATTCAATCCTGAGCAAATTCATTATGCAATTTTAGCATGTCCAATATTTAAGGTTTTGGAGTACAACATTGTTCATACCATGTTTTCTTGCTTGTCATGTATATATAATTATATAACCAGACTCAGAGTGACTAGATTATAGCAGTGTTATTAATAGTGAAGACATTTATTGGCTTTTATAACCGGGTTTTCCAGTGCAAGACTCTGGTTATTAGTTTTGTTAATGTTTGTGGGCAGATGGGTGTAAACAATTTCACCCATGAGCAATTTCTCAAGGGGTTTCAACCAAACTTTCACAACATGATTGGTATCAAGTGCCAATGCGCATTTTGATTTGAACTTTATAGCCCTTCGTTTTTTTTCGTATATCAACAACATGGCGAAAAGCATGACATTGTGACAATTTCCTATCACTTTGTATGCCTAAAATCAAAAATAAATAATTATAGGAATTATTTTTGTGTAAGAATTAGATAAATGTGCTTAACATGTAGTTGTATAAAGTGATGCAGAGTTTGAGAAGAATTGATATTTAGATATGTGTGTACAATTTAGGGATAGGTTATACATGAGATTTTTTTTGAATGGAACATAATTGTTCTGTTATTTTAAAGTTAAAAAACTTAAATAAACTTTAAGTAAGCACTGGTAAAGTTTGTGGTCAGTTAAGCTCAAAATATATATAAAATAATTCTTACATATGTATGTGGTAATTGTACACATTTAATCAGTTCTCATACTTTCATATTCAAAATTGTTAAATTTTCATGTTTAAAAGCTGAATGTACCTTACAGAAACTGTGAAAAGTTATCTAAGTGTTTAATTGCTTTTAAGCTAAAATATGGGAGCTTATTCAGGATATGCTTTTATCTGTAAAGCTGGTTAGTTATGATATAACAGTGGAACTGTATAGATTATTCTTAATACAAATTGTCTAAATGTCTACCTTGGTGTCTGCCTATAGCCTAAAATAATGCACCAAGTGATTAGCTTCTTAGATAGAATGGCCTTAGTTGTAATATAACAGAGGCACTGGATAAATCTTTAGGATAAATTTTTTTTCAAAGTTTTGAAATGCTGTTCACCTAAAATAATGCTTAGAGGGTGTCCTTTGATTCCATATATACAGCTGAGTAGGTGCAATATAACTGTGGCATTGTAACTTCAACATAATCAAATTTTTACTTCATCTGCTATATTTAACAGAAATAATTACATCTACCATGTATCATAAGGTAGAGTGCGAGAGAATTGTTTTATGAGTGATTGTAAACATTGCATGTTTTTGTTGCCAGTGTTAGAGAACTAGTACACAGACCCTATACCAGGTAAGCTCAATCACTTCATGTTGTAGGTACCTGTACATGGGCTTAACCTTAACAAGTTTACCTTTCTTTAAATTTTCATTTTTTCCTGACATTGTGTTTAAATAGTTATATTTACAGTTATATTAAAATATAGTTTGCTTATATGTTTCATCAGCAATATCAGCACCAAGCTTATGATAATAACTTTAATATTTTGTTTTTTGGGTTTTTTTGGTGAGTGGAAACAATGTACATGTGTACAGTCATGTATTATGTTTGCATATCTAAAAAGTAATTTCTTTGTAAATAGTACACATGAACTTACAATTATGTCACTTAATATCTGTATTTTTTTTAATAAATTGGGTTATGTGGGAAAATTAAGGTAGTATAGCACTTTCTTGTTGGAACTGGTCTTTAAAACAATGTTTCAAAATTGTAAAAAAGCTGTAATGACACTTTAACCCATTACTTCATGAGCATTTTGTGAAAAATGGCTGTTTTCATTGAAAAGTCTCCCGTTACAAGTTCAAATTGCTATAATACTATAAAAACTGCTTCAACACTAATCAAACTTGGCACAAATGTTGACTGGACCATTGCACTTGCAACAACATGCTCAGGCTTAAATTTTCTGTTACCATGGCAACGAGGGGACATCTCAAAATTGCCAAAAATCACTATTTTGCGTTGATTTTTTCCATCAAAATTGATTTCAAAGTGCTGCACTTTCTCAATGGATCGAGATAGAGTCAAAGGCTTTTCAGTGTTGGTTACACGTTACCTTATGATCGACCTTGGGTCATTTATAGCCTCTCACATGTCCAAAATTTTCTTGGCGATGAGGGGGACTCCTGCCCCTTCAAATCTCCCAAACAGAACGGGACACATCCCCCTTCTGGCAACCCCCTGATGTATATTTATATTGGGGCCGCGCCGAAAAAGAGGTCACTTTTTTAACAACATTTCTCAAACAAAAACAAGTGTTGGGTGCCTAAATAAGGCATTTTTTCACATTTGAGACAACAAAAAGGGGGGGGGGGTGAAAAAAGGCGTTAAAAGGCGTGTATATGAAGTAATGGGTTAACTGAAAATGATGAAAATACTTGAAATTACCCTAAATCGCGTTTTTTCATGTTTAAACATGGCCTGTCATATAAATTTGAAGAAAAATTGTTGTTTGTAGATTTTTTTTGTTATTTTCATTAACCCATTACTTCATTAGCATTTTGTGAAAAATGGCTGTTTTCATTGAAAAGTCTCCCGTTACAAGTTCAAATTGCTATAATACTATAAAAACTGCTTCAACACTAATCAAACTTGGCACAAATGTTGACTGGACCATTGCACTTGCAACAACATGCTCAGGCTTAAATTTTCTGTTACCATGGCAACGAGGGGACATCTCAAAATTGCCAAAAATCACTATTTTGCGTTGATTTTTTCCATCAAAATTGATTTCAAAGTGCTGCACTTTCTCAATGGATTGAGATAGAGTCAAATGCTTTTCAGCGTTGGTTACACGTTACCTTATGATCAATCTGGGGTCATTTACAGCCTCTCACAAGTCCAAAATTTTTCTTGGCGATGAGGGGGACTCCGCCCCCCTTCAAACCCCCCAAACAGAAGGGGGCACATCCCCCTTCTGGCAACCCCCTGATGTATATTTTGGTTGGGGGGCCGCGCCGAAAAAGAGGTCACTTTTTTTAACAACATTTCTCAAACAAAAACAAGTGTTGGGGGCCTAAATAAGGCATTTTTTCATCATTTGAGACAACAAAAAGGGGGGGGGGTGAAAAAGGCGTTAAAAGGCGTGTATATGAAGTAATGGGTTAAGGGTCAAATGGGCAATATTTAAATCGTGTCTTGAATTAGGAAGATTCTCAATCTATATATGTGGCATAAGGCAGTTTTGTTTTGACCTTATGATGTTCCCCAATGTTAAGTTTCTGGGACTGTAAGTATGCATGCAAGTTCCATCTTGCATAAACAATGTAGCAGTGTTGGCATTTCAATGCATAACTTCACTAATATCAGCATTGACAGACCTTATTGTGGATACTATAATTAAATCGTAATGTGATAATTTGATAATCTGATAATCAGATAACAAATTTTAGAGTTATGGCCCCTTGTATAGTAATAGTTGAAGGCATACATCTTATGGTTACTTTTCTTGAATATTTCTTTCATTATATGCATCTAAGTTATACACATGTAGTAGTGGCAGCATGCTTGCACATAATTTTTTATTCTTGTACATGTATATATATATCCCACCTGCATGTAGCTTTAGTATTATAAATATAATAACTCCATCTTAGTCACCTAGAAGTTTAGTATGTTTTACTCATACAGTCTTTCGTTGCTTGATGTCTGATGCAAACTTTTGTGATCTTTAATTATGTTCCTTCTGTTCTTTACTTTAAACTTATTTGTAATGAATTTAACCTATTAAATAAAGTAATGCTGAAAGTTGGAGTTATTTGTAAACCACAATTTGTATGTGTAACTTAGTACATTGTATTTAAATCATATATTGGTGAGAGATATTAATTTTAATATTATTCAATATGGTGCCTGATTTTTATGCATGTCTATATATAGTTTACTCAGTTAAGTGATTGAAATGTTATAGCAAGTGGATTATGTAATAATAGCCAATGTATATGTACATGTAATTGGGTATTGCAGATTTGGTTAAAAATTTATTTTTCACTGCAGTGAAACATATTTTTCCATATTTTCACTGGAGTCTTGCCTGACTACTTTCTTCTTAATTTAGCCAATACACAAAATTTAAGGGGATGTCTTTCTAATTGTTATATCAAAAAAGCAAAAAGAATGATATAATATTTCACTCATGGTTTCCACCACTCATGAAATACTTATTTTCATGCCACTAGATGAAAATAAATCCTGTATTTATAGAAACAACTTGCATAACCTCTATTTATTACCACTTTCACTGTCTTTTCTATGTGCATTGAGCATATTGAATAATTGATTTATATTTGCACATGCTTGTCACCTTTATAATTGAGCCATGCCATGACAAAATTAACATAATGGGTTTGCGACCAACATGGATCCAGACCAGCCTGCACTTCCACGCAGTCTGATCTTGATCCATGATGTTCACTATCAGTTTCTCTACTTGTTATAGGGTTTGTTAGCGAGCAGCATGGATCCTGATCAGACTGCGCAGATGCCCAGGCTGGTCTGGGTCCATGCTGGTCGCAAACCCATTATGTTAGTTTTGTCATGGCGCGGCTCAATTATTTATTGCCTCAAGTCACAATATAACTCACACATAATTATCACTTTGTATTCTTTATAGTTAAATCATTGATTGAAATAAAAAAACTTAAAGCTCATTTGAACCATTCTAGAGTCTCCTGGTGTCATATATTAACATACTTTGCTGTGCTACCTTGTACGTAAATGGAGCTTTCTTATACATAGACTTATATATGTCTGTGACATCATTATTGTTGTCATTATTATTGTTGTTGTTATTGTCAGACGTACATAACTTGTAGTAAACTTAGAAAAGAAGACAAAATGTTTAGGTACATTAAAAGCTATTCTAACACGACCCCCATTTTTCCCCATTGAACATAGAAGTACCGAAAGTGTGTGTTATTGTGTTATAAAATCACTGCTGACATTCTATATTTAGACATGTGACGTAATCATTATACATGTGACATAACCACTAGAAATGTGACGCGCTGAAAATAAGTAAGGAAACAAATCAGGTGCAATTTAGCTTAATACCAGGTAGTACAGCAGCATTTATTTGTTGATGTTGTGTTAGAATCAGAATAATATATCCAAATCGGTGATTTTATCGCTTGATAAAATCATTGTTTGTCCTTCATATGCGCATCATTATATCACTTGGGCTAGGCCTTCTTGATATAATTCCTCGCATCCTAACTCCAAACACTGATTTTATTGAGCGATAAAATGACTGTTTGGTATATATTATTTCTTAAATATATACAATACCTGGAACAAACCAGAATAGTTGTCAAAATCAGTGTCACTAAAGATCAAATTTGGTTTAACTGAATTCAATAATCAATGTAAGTGAAGTCTAAAATAATTGTAGCAAAAGTCAAAATCTCTGTAAAACAGAAAATTAAATTAAGTGTTACTGGAATCCAAAATCTTGCACCTGATGTTTAAAAGTTTTGTCACTTAAATCCAAAATCTCCATAACTGAGTTCAAATTTTTTGGTCCCGATTTCCAAAATTAGTGTAACTGAAGTCAAATTCCTGTAATCAGTGTTAGCGGCATCTTAAATTAGTGTAATGGAAGTCTACAGTCAGAGTAACTGATATTTAAAATTAGTGTCACTGAATTCCAAAATCCCTGTTATTGAATTCAAATTAAGAACTCTTGATTTCTAAAATCAGTGTAACTGTATAAAAATTCCTGTAACTGAAATTCAAATGCAGTCTTACTGAAGTCATAAATCAGTGTTACTGAAGTCCAAAATCAGTGTTACTGAAGTCCAAAATCAGTCTTACTTAAGTCCAAAATCAGTGTTACTGAAGTCCAAAATCAGTCTTACTTAAGTCCAAAATCAGTGTTACTGAAGTCCAAAATCAGTGTTACTGAAGTCCAAAATCAGTGTTACTGAAGTCCAAAATCAGTCTTACTTAAGTCCAAAATCAGTGTTACTGAAGTCCAAAACCAGTGTAACCAAAGTTAGAAAAAGATTGTTACTGAAGTCCAAAATCAGTGTTACTAAACTTCAAGCTTAAAATCGATTTTACTGAAATTCAAATTTGCTGTTACTGAATGCAAATGAAGTTTCCAAAGTCAATGTAAATGAAATATTTGGTACAAAATTCATTCAAATATTAAAAAACAACAACAACACTTTTCAAGAAGATAATTAAATATTTCATTATGAACTGATAACAAATGTAAGAAATGTATGTATTTTGTATGATTTCAGGTTGGATGATGAGAGTAGACTAGAGGCTATCATTGTATTTGAGGAGTTCTGTAAAGAGTTGTCAGCTATAGTGTTCGTCAAACATCATGCTGCAGTTACTGAAGACAGACAATAATACCAGAATTACCCCCCTTGTTACCCTTACCAAACACTGTGCTGCAGTCACTGAAGACAGGCAATAATACCAGAATTACCCCCTTGTTACCCTTACCAAACACTGTGCTGCAATCACTGATGACAGACAATAATACCAGAATTACCCCCTTTGTTACCAATACCAAACACTGTGCTGCAGTCACTGATGACAGTCAATAATACAAGAATTACCCCCCTTGTTACCCTTACCAAACACTGTGCTGCAGTCACTGAAGACAGGCAGTAATACCAGAATTACCCCCCTTGTTACCCTTACCAAACACTGTGCTGCAGTCACTGAAGACAGGCAATAATACCAGAATTACCCCCCCCCCCTTGTTACCCTTACCAAAAACACTGTGCTGCAGTCACTGAAGACAGGCAATGATACCAGAATTACCCCCCTTGTTACCCTTACCAAAAACACTGTGCTGCAGTCATTGAAGACAGGCAGTTATACCAGATTTACCCCCCTTGTTACCCTTACCAAACACTGTGCTGCAGTCACTGAATACAGGCAGTAATACCAGAATTACCCCCCTTGTTACCCTTACCAAAAACACTGTGCTGCAGTCATTGAAGACAGGCAGTTATACCAGATTTACCCCCCTTGTTACCCTTACCAAAAACACTGTGCTGCAGTCATTGAAGACAGGCAGTTATACCAGATTTACCCCCCTTGTTACCCTTACCAAACACTGTGCTGCAGTCACTGAAGACAGGCAATAATACCAGAATTCCCCCCCTTGTTACCCTTCCCAAACACTGTGCTGCAGTCACTGAAGACAGGCAGTAATACCAGAATTACCCCCCTTGTTACCCTTACCAAACACTGTGCTGCAGTCACTGAAGACAGGCAATAATACCAGAATTACCCCCCTTGTTACCCTTACCAAACACTGTGCTGCAGTCACTGAAGACAGGCAATAATACCAGAATTACCCCCTTGTTACCCTTACCAAACACTGTGCTGCAGTCACTGAAGACAGGCAATAATACCAGAATTACCCCCCTTGTTACCCTTACCAAACACTGTGCTGCAGTCACTGAAGACAGGCAGTAATACCAGAATTACCCCCCTTGTTACCCTTACCAAACACTGTGCTGCAGTCACTGAAGACAGGCAATAATACCAGAATTACCCCCCTTGTTACCCTTACCAAACACTGTGCTGCAGTCACTGAAGACAGGCAGTAATACCAGAATTACCCCCCTTGTTACCCTTACCAAACACTGTGCTGCAGTCACTGAAGACAGGCAATAAGAATTACCCCCTTGTTACCCTTACCAAACACTGTGCTGCAGTCACTGAAGACAGGCAGTAATACCAGAATTACCCCCCTTGTTACCCTTACCAAACACTGTGCTGCAGTCACTGAAGACAGGCAGTAATACCAGAATTACCCCCCTTGTTACCCTTACCAAAACACTGTGCTGCAGTCACTGAAGACAGGCAATAAGAATTACCCCCCTTGTTACCCTTACCAAAACACTGTGCTGCAGTCACTGAAGACAGTCAATAAGAATTACCCCCCTTGTTAACCCCTATACAGCACAGTTGTTTGAATTGTGGAAGAACTTTGCAATGGTCTAATATTTTCTAATATTTTATAGCTACATGTATTATGATTGTTATTGTTGTTTTCATACACAGTGGCCAACCATTATAATTTGATTCTTTTAAGTGGAATAAACATTTTGGAGAAGAATGGCAGATTATCCAAACTGAATACTGCATTTTTTGTAGAAGGAAATGAAATGTAATGTTTTCACGGCATATTTTTCCACCCAAACAAGTCAGCAAGTTGTTGCTATTTCGCTTTTAGCGAATTTCAGATATAATGAACAATATTTAAATGTCCCATTGGGTTCATTATAAGCGGAGTCGACTGTATCTATAAAGATGCAACATTCAAGGAAATCTATTTGTTCTATAAATGCTCTGATTTTCCGAGTTGAAATTCAGGATTTTTCATGAAAACAAAAAGTTTTAAAAGCTCAGACATAAAATTAAGCTACAATTCAACCTCTGTATAGCAATACCCTTAGGGAGGCAGAGAGTTTGGTTGTTAATGAGAGGTGTTGCTCTAGGTAAGTTAAATCTATTGTAAAGTTTTACTTTAAGAAAAAAATTGAAGCTGTGGTTGTTGTAAAGAGGTAGATGTTCTACAGAGGGCTGCTCTGTGGAGGTTTTCTGTATTTGATCTGTTTTATAATTTTGAGCTGTTAAAAGTTAAAGTTTGTATACTGGAGTACAATAAAATCGACTTTTTTTTACAGAAAAGATGTTGATATTTTTTGCCCGAGTGTTTTGTTAAGAATCTCATGTTAGTTAAGCTTTCTAGGTCATTTAGAAAGAGTTAAGTTGTCCCTTTTTAATATAATTATGTTTAATTTGTAATTTTTCATGTTATAAATGTATGTTATAAATGAAAATACAAGTTCTTATCATGTATATGGATTCAATGGTACTTACATTTTATTTAATTTTATGAAAATATTAGAATTTTTTTTTTAAAAAAACATTTAAGATCACTTGTTTTGCAAAGAGATACTTACATGTAAAATAAATTTTTCATTTAATTTTAGTTTATGATACAGGTTTAGAATAAAGGTGTTATACTGTAAATCATGTTATTTTTGCATACGGCAAAATCAGTAATGACTTCGGCAGTAATCGGATTTTAGCAAATCTAATTTTAACGATTTTGTTGTACATGCTTCTATATTTCCCATTTTTCTGCTAGCAAAGTGACACTACTCTTTTTGTCGAAGATTCAAATTTCCTATTGATGTATGAAAAAAAAACACCTGACATAATTATGGTGTTATCATTGGTTTTACTCAATATCTTGATATTATATTGAAGTTAATGTATATAAATTGTATATAATTATATTACAGCCTACTGCCATATGTTGTTCTAGTCCTATATATTTGTCTTCCAATTATCTCTACACTGATAATTTGTTTTATATCTATTGCATAATATGATCGTCAATGTTGATTGTAGTTAGAATTATTGATAATTTGTGCCTCGTCACGACAAAACCAACATAATGGGTTTGCGGCCAGCATGGATCCAGACCAGCCTGCGCATCTGCGCAGTCTGATCAGGATCCATGCTGTTTGCTATCAGTTTCTCTACTTGTTATAGGGTTTGTATGCAAACAGCATGGATCCTGATCAGACTGTGCGGATGTGCAGGCTTGTCTGGATCCATAATGGTCGCTAACACATTATGTTGGTTTTGTCATGACGCGGCTCATATGTGTATTGTGACTTGGAATGGGAATTTTTCTTGTCTTCCAACTGGACTGTGTTTTATAGAAAATCATAAGTCAGAAATCGGTCTATAGACCAAAACCAAAACAATTTTGTGTTTCAAAGAAAATATCCAAACTTATGACACTAGGGTTATGACTCATTAATTTCTGAATGGCAATGCTGATGGGTATTTACACATTGCGAATAAAAGCGTATGTCATTGTATTTCATTACTTTTCTTAGGAGAATGCATTTATTTAATATAGTCGACAGTGTTTACTTGCGGATAAAAATGTTAACTGAAATGGTTTTAGGTTAGTCCTAAAGTTGGTTTTATGCCCTATGACTTAGGATACACTTAAGACTAGGACTTTCTAAAGAAACACAGCCCAGATCTGTATATAAGACTTCCATATATATTTTGCTTGACTTTAAATAAACCAAAATAAAAGCACATGAAGTAAAATTCTGTCTTTATGTAAACAAAATTAAAGAACATAAATTATTACACCATGGCAGAAATAGTTGTGATTGCACCTTTAGTCATTGGGTGAATATTGTAAGATATTGGCTGGAAAAACTTTGTAAAATTCAAAGCAGAAAAATGTATGTCCAGAAGAATACCTCCTATTATCAACTGGTATTTTTTGATAATTTTTTCTTTGCATTAAGTTTGTAACATTGTTGCTTCACTTGTTTTAAAATGTCATTATTGAGAAACAAACATTAGATATATATTGGCCTGATTATATTGGTGGTATAGAATTGTTCTTCCCATTTCCAAAAAAATGAATCCAGCCATTTCTTAAAATTTACTCAAGCCATTTGCTTCTGTTTCTGGAAAGCAGGTCATTGCAATTTTAGTAGCATAAGGGTTACACAAGACATGTTAAATAATTTCACTATTGTTTTTATTATTTTGTACTCTGCTGACAGTATTTTTTAAAAAGTTGTTTCTGTTTTAAATGCTTATCACTTGTGCCAAAGGAATTGTGTCTGTCTCATTATAAAGGGTGTAAAGCTATACCTGGCAAAATATCCTAGATTATTTTTTTTTCTCGTAAGTAGTTTTTATGCAGATTTTCACACTTGTTTTAATCATACCTAGGTAGTTTGTATCTTAAAAAATTTCGCCTTGCCTTAGGATCAACTGGTAACACCTGGAAAACAAAACTGATGCTGGCCCTATTGAGCAAAGTGGATGAACTTTAAAAAACCAAGCTCTATTGTTTTCATATTCTTATGGTTATATCTGTGTAATGTTGGGAAAAAGTATCGTTCCCTAGTATCGAAATTCTATATATAGTTTTTATAATGATTTCCAAAGTGCACCATCTGCTGTAATGAAAATTTATAAACATTTTTCTTATAAGTGATGTACTTTGCCATGATTTTGATCAAGATACAGATATGAGCCGCGCCATGACAAAACCAACATAATGGGTTTGCGACCAGCATGGATCCAGACCAGCCTGCGCACCCGCGCAGTCTGATCAGGATCCATGCTGTTCGCTTTCCAACCCTATTACAAGCAAAGATCCTGATAGCGAACAGCATGGATCCTGATCAGACTGTGCGGATGCGCAGCCTGGTCTGGATCATGCTGGTCGCAAAATGTTGGTTTTGTCATGACGCTGCTCAATTATTATACCAATTATAGACAGCTAAATATAGCTTTATACCCTTTAATGTATATATTTCAACATGTTCTTGTTAGTATTGATGTTGTAGATATTGTATATTAATTGATCAACATCAAATTTACTTACTTACCATAATGAAAACATAAGATTTTGGTTTTACGTCAGTGGTTTGAAAAGTAAGTGTTGATTTAAACACTG